GCTAAAGTAGATGTAATAATAACCTGTTTTACAGCTGAGGAAACTGAGACTCAGAGAGGCAAACCAAATTCTCCAAGGCCACACAGCTGGGAAGTGGTGGAGTGGAGATTCTAAGTCCTTTGCTCTTAAACTACTATCCCACACTCCCCCCTCCAACCTTTAACCAGGCTTTAGCTTGAATCTCTAACCCAGCAGGGAACTTCCCTGTGACTGATCTCACTCAGCTCTACCTTGTACTAGCTATGTGACCTCTGAGCAAGTCATTCTAACAAATAAAGATTAAATAACATAATGAATGTAGAAATGTTGGCCTTTTCTTTTTTGAGACAGTCTCACTCTATCACCCTGGGAGAGTTCCGTGGCATCATAGCTCACAGCAACCTCAAATTCTTGGGCTCAAGCAATTCTCTTGCCTCAGCCTCCCCAGTAGCTGGGACTACAGGTGCCCACCATGATGCTGGCTATTTTTTTCTATTTTTAGAGACGGAGTCTTGCTCTTGCTCAGGCTGGTCTCAAACTCCTGAGCTGAAGCACTCCACTTTTGTTTGCCTCCCAGAATACTAAGATTACAGGCATGAGCCACCATGCCAGGCTGCTTAACCTTTTTCTTTCTTTTTTTTTTTTTTTGGTGATAGGGTCTTGCTCTGTTGCCGGGTGAGGGTGCAATGGTGTCATCATAGCTCACTATAACCTCAAACTCCTGGGCTCATGCAATCCTCCTGTCTTAGTTTCCTGAATAGCCGGGACTATTGGCATATGCCACCATGGCCAGCTATTTTTTATAAGGACAGAGTCTTGCTATGTTGCCCAGGATGATCTCAAACTCCTAAGTTCAACAAATCCACCCACGTCAGCCCCCCAAAGTGGTAGGATTACAGGCATGAGCCACCACGCCTGGCCTGAGTATAGAAACATTGAGCACAGAAGCTGTAGTCCTAGCACTATATGTTCTTATAAATGGGGTAATCAGGTAAAGGAGTTGCAGAGATAACCTGAGAAGCTCTGAAAAGTTGATCCCTAACTCCAGAGAGCCACCTGGCTCTTCCAGCCTCTCTACTTAGCATTTGACTCTTCTGGAAAAACCATCCTGAGACTATTCCCACCATTAATCCTCCTCTAACCAAGATCTTGGGCTGTAGAGTCAGGCAGATTGAGTTATGATCCTGGCTCCACCACTTACCACTTGTATGTCCTTGGACATCCCCTGGGGGATCAGTTTTCTCACCTATAGAAAATAAATCATGTTGTCTACCCCATAGGATTATTGTGAGGGTTAAATAATATTATGCATATAAAATGTTTAGCACACAGTCTCACAGGGGGTAAAGGCTCAGAAATGTTCATTATTTTGCTTGAACAACACTAACAGTCCCAAAAGCAAAAGTCCAAATTCTCTGACCCGGCACACCATGGACCCCATTATTCCTTCCTGGACTCTCTCACTGTTTCCATGCTCAATTTAGATGTGGCGTGTGGCTTTCTCACCCCTGTGTCTCCTCTCCACTCGGAGTGCTCTCCCATACTTCACACTGGCCCAGCTTATACCTCATTTTCCAACTAAGCTGGCAGCCCTTCTGTTGCCCTGGATCCATAGCACTTATTACTGTTCCGATTGTCCTGTAGGAAGCTGCTGTGTGTACTTGTTTTATCCGTGATACCCTCTTCCAGTGGTCACACTTGATTTACCTTTGTGGGAACTGACCTTTCTCCACTATCAGTCCATGTTTTATTCCAGGGACGGGCATGTGGCTCAGGACATAGACAAAGTCACCATGATTAATTAAGAAGCAGACACTTAACTAAAGATGGACTCATGAGAATCAACCCGGGAAGTTTTGCTGGAATCATTCTTTTTCCACAGACATTGCTAAGCTGAAGCAATATAAATTCACAGCTACCAGTGGCCTTATTCATCTCTTTGAAGAGAGAAGTGGACTTAAGATGAGGCAACACAGAGGAACCAAGAAATGAAGAGAGACAATTTTTCATAGGGTTATTTGAGCATCTGGACCCATCCATACCCGAAGCCAGATACCCTTGACCTTCAAGTTAAGTCAGTCAATAAACTCTACCCTCTTGATTTTAGTCTAATTTATTTAAGCTTCTTTGAGTTGGGTTTCTGTCACTTGCCATTGAAAGACTGCTGACAAATACAGTGACCCAACTAGACAGTAAGCTTTCTGAGAGCAGAAATTACATTTTGTAGACCTAAGATCCTAGGGGACAGGGATGATGTCTTATTAATATGTATCTCAGTATTGCTGCACTGAGCATCAGAATGATCATACAGCAGATGAGGAATAAACAAAGCAATAAGAGTATTTTTGTATTTTGCCAATGGCCTTGAGCTCTGTACTTAGAAGACCCTAAAATACTTGAATAAAATTTTAAGGAAAAATAATCATATGACAAGCATTTTAATTCTTTTTTTTTTTTTTTTTTTTTTTTTTTTTTTTTTTTGTTGAGACAGAGCCTCAAGCTGCCCCCCTGGGTAGAGTGCCGTGACATTACAGCTCACAGCAACCTCCAACTCCTGAGCTCAAGCGAGTCTCCTGCCTCAGCCTCCCAAGTAGCTGGGACCACAGGCGCCCGCCACAACGCCCGGCTATTTTTTGGTTGCAGCCGTCATTGTTGTTTGGCGGGCCCGGGCTGGGGATTCGAACCCGCCACCTTAGGTGTATATGGCTGGCGCCTTAGCCGGTTGAGCTACAGGCGCCGAGCCGAGCATTTTAATTCTTATGTCACACACACCTACATACCAAAAAAAAAAAAAAAAAAAAAAGCCCTTTCTTCTCTGCAGTTCCTCTAAGGATGACTTTCTGTATGGAATGATCTTAATAAAAGAGTTCTAGGAGCCTCACAGGACTGAAAGAGATACTTTAAATCAACTTATCTAATGGCCCCCAGTTCTCCATTGCACGAATGAAAAAACTGAGATTTAAACTAAAAAGACTTACTTAACACTGCATGGTGAGTCACAGGCAGTGTCAACTAAAACCTCCACCCGGAACACTGGTGCTCTGACCTCTGTCCTGGTGTCACTTTCTTAAGCAAAGTGATTTAGTCATTTACCCAGAGACTCCACGGACTGTCCCCTTAGCCCTCAGGGTGGAGCAGCTGCTGAAAGGAAAGTGCCCTGAACCAGAAGTCAAGAAACTCAGATCTTAGACCTACTTTTTTCCCTTACTGACTGTGTGACTTTGGGAAAGCCCTTCACTTTTCCACATGCAGTTTCTTCTCTCTAAAGTAGAGGGAGGGGGAAATGGAATTTGAAGGAGCTGATCTCTAAAATCCACAAAATCCTATGATTACATGGGGGTTGTTGGACAGTTCATCAAATCCTAAGATTAAACTCACATGGATTACAGAGAATTTGAAAGCCAGAGGTCGGCAACCCATCTGCAGACTCCAAATTAAGGTTGATGAATTGGGGGTTCCAGCTGAGCATACATTTTCATATGTTCTTTCCAGCTTGCCTTTGGAAAAAAAATAGACTAGAAGTACATAATATCAGATCTGTGAGTACCACAGAGAAATATGGAGTGATATCCCCTACATCCTACAATTCTCCTTTCTCATCCTCTTCAAAGATCCTGAAGGATCCACATCTAAGTTAAGTGGGTGAGATGGATTTGAAACAAACTCATTAGAACGTCTACATCTGAATATACACTGCCTTTTTCAAAGTAGTCCTTTTAGGAGTTTGGGCAATTCTTCCACTGAGGCAGTAATTCCTCCCTGCATTTGTAGAAGTCCTCTAGGGGAAGCAAACCAGGCATGACTTTGTCCTCACACCTTGGCTTTCATCCCAAGTGACAATTCTCAATTTGATCAGATCATCCATTGTATTCTCCACACTTGACCCTGAGTGGCTTCCAGCCATTTCCAAAACTTACATTCCTCCTCCTTTAGAAGACAGATATTCAAGAGACTATGCCAAACCAATTGCCTGCAATGATTTGAGCAGTGGAATCATCAGCAAGTGATATAATGCCCTGTGGGGGTAGGAATGGGGGCTCTTGTAAGATGGTGGACACTTGTTGAATGTCCTGAGATGCTTATTTTTGAAAACCACCTCTGCTGCATGATTATCACATTTTTCTTTCTCTTTCTCGTCCCTGGAAGGCTCCAAACTTTTTTCTAGCTTTCAGTAGCCCTCTTCCTCCATCCTTCCCATGCCCTGGCCCCTCCTTCCCCGGCCTAACTCCCTTCCCTACTAGCAATTAGGCAAACGCCCAAGTTGCTGAGTCTTTAAAATCTGCGTTCGATCGAAAGGTGGGTGGAAGTGGGGAACTCTAATGGATCCTGGAAAACTGTCTCAGCATTTCTCATTCCCCAAAGGCCCCTCTCTGCTTCTTAGCCAAACATTTCAGAGGGTCCCAGGAACTCATTCCCATTGGGCAGGTTCTATCAACCACCCACATCTCAAATAGTGGATAGCCACTATAGACAGCCTCTGCCCCCTACCTCATCACAGCACTTTAAAGATTACAAGATTCTCTTTCATTTGTCCTATAGGCATCCTCTCCACTGTGTTACAGATGAAGAAACCAAGCCTCAGAGAAGTAAAGTGAAACACTCAAGTTGACAATTCAGCAATTTTAAAGATTCAAGCAGATCTCTCTTGACTCCCCATCTCATGCTCATGTCAGCCTAATAGAAATCGGTTCTACCTAGAGTAACCCCTCTAAGACAGCCAACAGAGACCCTTGGAGACACTCTTAACATAACGCTAACTCATCAATAAATGCAGTCTGCCCATATCCAGGCATAGAAACCCGAATACCAATTCTAAGGCTCTGCTCCCCACCCCCACCCCCCCAGGGCTCTCTCTCATTGAATCCCCTCCCCAGTGACTGCTGAGGGTCAACCAAGGAAGTGAGTGCCTTAACAAAGAGGAACACAATCTATCTCTGACTCCTCCAAGAAGGGGACCTAGCAGGAAGGAGCCCCTGTCTCTGGCCCCTGATCTGGGGGTTCCGCCCCCACCCCTCCCCTACCTGCCAAGAGCTGCATCCAGGCGCAGATCTTGTAGACCGTGGCCGTGTTGCAGAAGAAGAAAAGCGCAAAGCAGGTAATGCAGCCGAGGATCAGCACCATGGAGAGCAGCACGAAGAAGGCAGCCGCCTTGAAGGCGCTGGACGGGATGGTGCTGAAGTCGGTGAAGGAGCCCCGGCAGGTGAGCTCGCGGCCCGCCAGCCCGCTGCCCACACAGTAGTGGAAAAGACCGAAGTAGCCGGGCTTAGGGGTGCTCACGCTGTCGCCCACCCAGTAGGGCTGAATGAAGACCACCACGTTGATGATGGCGAAGCAGATGGTGAAGATGGCCCACAGCACGCCGATGGCCCGCGAGTTCCGCATGTAGTGCTCGTGGTAGAGCTTGGAGGCCTCCTGCGAGGGCAGCATGGTGCCCGGGGGCGGGGCCGGCGGCGGCGGCTGGCGGGGGCCGCCGGCCCGGGACCGAACGCCGGGCTGCCGGGCGGGAGCTGGGAAGAAGCGGCCCCGAGTCAAGGACCTCGCGAGGGCAGGGTCTGGGGCGGAGCTGGGGGCCCTGGGGACTGATACCGGGGAGAGAGGAGGGGGTCATGAGACTGTTGGAGCGGTGTCCGGGGGCACAGGCAAAGCTTTCCTACTGGGGGGTCTAGGAAGGAGCCATGTGAAAGTTGAGGGGGGCCTGGGATGAGGATACGGCATACGGAAGTAAGGGAAGAGCTTGAAAGTGGTCATGGGGGAGTTAGGGAGGGGGCTTGGGGGCTGGCACTAGGGGAGTAGAGGTGCTGTGGGGGGATGGAATGGAGGCTGGAGACCGGTATTGGGGGATTGGCAGAGGGGCTGTATATGGGGAGCCCAGAAGGGAATTGGGGTTGTGGAGGTAGAAAGAGATCGGGTATTGGGTGTCTAGAAAGGGGCTATGAGGCGGAGTGAGGCGCTTCTATGAGGGGGAAAGAAGGGGATATAAGGGCCAGTACTGGGAGACCAGGAAGGTGATACGGGGACTGGGTCAGGGAATGGGGCTGGTAAGAGGGTCTAAGAGGGCAAAGCAACGGAATTAGAATAAGGCTGGAAGGGAGTCGGGGGCTGGGACTGCTGGACACGGGGCGGTGTGGGGGGGTGTCCTCAGAAGCCAGGGCTGGATGTAGGCTGAGGGGAGCCTGGGATTGGCGGGCCAAGACCGGGGAGAGAGGTTTTCCAGGCCAAGGGGAGGAAGGACCGGGGCCGGCAGGCAGCCCCGACCGGGAGAAGCGGCGGTGGACAGGGACTGGCCCCGGGGTGCTGAGGAGCAGCCAGGCCCGAGTAAGGCCGGGGGTTGGGGCTACCCCGCGCCCAGGCTGGACGCGCGCAGAGGCTGCGGCCGCGGGGAGAGGGTGCCCGAAGACCAACCTGGGTCCGGTCCAGGGCAGCGGGTCCGGGACTGGCACGGCCTAGGTGCCGCGGCTCGGCGCTCCCAGCAGCGGCTGCCTCGGCCCAGGCGGCTGCTTCTGAGCGGCCTCCATCTTGCTCGGGTTCTCCCCGGGGCGCGCTCCCGCGCGGAGGCGCGCGCTCTTGTGCACTGGCGCGGCCCGGAGGAGGCGCGCTCCCGCACGAGCGTGCGGGGCGGAGCGAAACGGAGGAGGGGCGCTGCTAGTTCTAGCAGCCTAGGGGAAGAGTGGGCACGGCCCCTGGGGCGCCCCAGCCGGTGCCAGAAGCCCTCTCCACAGTAGGGCCCTCTGATTTGGGGGACTCCCTTCTAGACTGAGCTGTGGAGCTGTGAGTCCCCACTAAGTCCATGTGAATGGAGGAGGGGTGAACGGGATATCATTGATAGGAGACCACCTGGATGTCTTGCTCCCGAATTCCCTCCCCTACAACCTAACCCCTTCACTGTCTGAAGTTGTACCATTATGCTGTCTTTTGAGTCTTGGAGGTGCTGAAGGTTCCCGAAGTCTACTAGGAAACTGTCAACATATCCAGAAGGGAGAACTCCTTAAACTGTTAGCAGCCCACGCCTGGGATGGGGCTTCGTTGGTTCCTTGCACAACAAGTGGGGCCTGAGGAACAGGACACAGGGTGAGTACCAAGGGATAGGGAAGAAAGGGGCTGGGAAATTTGGGGTTTCCCTACTCTACACTCTCCCCAGCGCCTAGCCCAGTGCCTGGCATGAAGTGGGTGCACCAGAAGGATGTGTTAATGATCAAAGCACGAAAGTCAAGGCCCAGGGTTACAGAACCCCTGAGGGTAACTCCAAGGGAGCCAGTTCGGGTCATTTCTTTCCCTGCGAGGGAAGTAACCTTTGGCTTAGGATCTGTAGAGATGATCTGGAATGGAACACAGACAAACTGTGCCTAACACTATCTCTGTGACCTTTGCTCCAGCTCTCTGAATTTGTTTCCCCATCTATAAAGTAGGCAGATTAAGCCCCACTTCACCGGTATAAATAATGGAGGGGGCACGAATGAAAAAGAATCCATGTTAACGGATCCCAAACACTGTATCACACACAGGGGTCAGTCTGTTAAAACTTACGTCTATCTGTAAAAAAAAAAAAAAAAAAAAAAAAAATCATGTACAATTTCCAATTATCACTCTACAGTGGAGAGGAGGACTGATCTTTTTTTTCTGAGATTATATACTTCCTACTTTCTTAGAGCATTTTAAGAAATGGGAGTGATTTTTAATGAAAGGGGGTTTCTTTTTTATTTTATTTTATTTTTTGAGACAGAATCTCACTTTGCTTCCCCTAGTAGAGTGCTATGGCATCATAGCTCACAGCAACCACAAACTCCTGGGCTCAAGTGATCCTCTTGCCTCAGTTTTTCTATTTTTAGTAGAGTTGCTGTCTCACCTTACTCAGGCTGTTCTCAAACTCCTGAGTTCAGGCAATCTGCCCGCCTTGGCCTCCCAAAGTGCTAGGATTACAGGTGTGAGCCACTGCGCCCAGCTGAAAAGGAGTTTATTAATGTCCTTATTAGGCAAAACAAAAAATAGGCAGCCTTATTCCAATACCAAATTTAACAAAAATTACAGATCCATGAAATCCCACAATTTGGAGATCTCAGACGCATGGGAACCGATCTCAGCCAAGGCCTGGACAAAGGGTGCTCACCAAATTTGGCTTCCCTCTCTATTGGTTCCTTGTAGAGGGCATCCTGGCTATCTCCTGAGAAGCCTATCATCTTAGAATTATGACCTGAAGGAGCTACAGAGAAAATCTCATTCTATACCTTCTCCTACTTCTCGGGTGGAGAACAGAGACTAAAAAGGGCGATTGACTTATCCAGATGCGTAGATGGACTCTGCCAATCAGACTGATCAGCCTGATTCATTAATTATTCATCCATCCAATAAATATGTGTGAGTCCCCTGGTCAGTCCCCTGTGATGTGCCAGGCACAGACATTATGCCAGGCACTCACCCAGAGCTCACAGCTTCAGGGGGAAATGGAGGGTGCTAGGAGGAGGGAAGCAGAGAATTGGCCATCCTCAAAGACGACCTCAAAGTTTGCTTCTGCGGATATTCCTGTTTGGGTACTGCTCCAAAGATACCAAGTCACTCCTTACCCTTTATTCTTTACTCTGCCTGAATTATTGCCTTTTTTCCCTAGCCTTCAGAGCCAAGCTAGGCAGTCCTGGAAAATTATTATAAAAGTCCATTTACTATTCTCCCTTATGGCAAGAAGCAAGCATTCTTGCTAAGATGGACCCCCAGGTCCTCTGTGGCTACTCTATTCTAGCTCTGCATAGCAAAGACACCCTGTAGAGATCTGCCCACCTCAGACACACTTCTGACAATAGTGATTTTTCCTTGAAGAACCTTCTTTACCCCTCACTCAGTCCCTGGGTTTGGCGGAACTCTCACACAAAACACCCCCCCCCAACACACACACACACATACGCATGTGCACACCACACACCACTCCAGAGGGGGCAAATGAAAGGCTTAGATAATGATCATATTCCACTGTTTTGGACATGCTGATTGGCTTGTGGTTGAAAGCCAAATAGTTGAGAATGATACACGATCATTTGTTGCAGTTATAGGAAAGAGATGTTCTCTCTCTTTTGCCTTTGTTGAATGAGGAGGATTGTAAGCTGCAGCTGGCGGGGACCATCTTTGACAACCCAAGTAGAGAGCTTGTCTAAGAATAAGGTCAACACAGAGAAATGCTAAGAAATGGACAGAGTTCCGATGACATAATTTGAGCACTTGGATCTGTCCATGCCTGAAAACCTACTTCTGAATTGTTTTGTTAGGATAAATCAATAAATTAGATTTTGCTTAAGCCAGTTTGAGTTAGTTTTTTGTCACTTCTGATTGAAATAACTAATCTAAATGACTTAATTACATTCCCTCAAAGGAAGGAACAAGAGCTGGTATACTGGATTGTTTGTAAGAAGGGAAATGGCCTGAACAGGTGAGCTACTCCTGACAAATTAAAACTAAAAGACCAAAATTTGAAGCCCATCTCTGACGCATCTTCACTGTGTGAGCCAGGACAATGATCCTACTCCTCAGAGACTTATTTTCTTCATTTGTAAAATGGAAGGAACCAACCATACTTTCTTCTCACCGATGTGGTAAGATTTAAGAGAGATAATGGATAGAAAAGAGTTTTGCAGATGGAAAAAATGGCTATAAATGCAAGTGATTATCATTAAATTTTAATAAAAGTAACTTGTCTGAAGAATAGAAATAGCAGTAGTATTTGAAACACACTTGCTGAACCATGAGTAACTAGCACAGGATAATTTTCTCCTTTTAAAGGCTAAACTTGGAACAATAACAGAAAGAAAATTTGAGAACTCTCTGCAGGAAGAGCATCTTATTGACCCCAAGGAGAGCCAGAATGGAAAAGTTGTGGGTTCAAGAGGAGGACTGTAGACCCCAAGGCAAGGACGAGGCTGGATTGCACCTGGATGAGAAGGAAAGCCCAGGGCACTTCTAGCCAATATCCCAGCAAGGAATGATTTTTACAGCTCGCTGCCTACCCTTATACCTAAAAGTGTTCAGTTATGTCTAACAGTTATTAAGTCTTACTATATTCTCAGTCCCACAATCATTGCTTTACTTATATTGTCTCAGTTAATCTTCACAATAACTCCGTGAGGTAGTGTTATGGGCTGGGGTGCGTCCCCTGCAAAAGTCACATGGTGAAGCCCTAATGCCCAGCACCTCAACATGGGACTATATTTGGAGACAGGCCCTTTAAAGAAGTAATTAAGGTAAAATAAGGTCAGATGGGTGGACCCTAATCCAATATGACTGGTGCTTTTAAGAAGAAACTGGGACCCAAACAACACCATAGAGACCAAGGGGTGATCAGGTACGGACACAGCAAGGAGGCACCATCTACAAGCCAAGGAGAGAGACCTCAGAGGAAACCACACTTGCCACACTTGATGTTGGACTTCTAGCCTCTAGAACTCTGAGATAATTAATTTGTCATTTAAGCCACACAGCCTATAGTATTTTATTATAGCAGCCTTAGCAAATTAATAGAGGTAGGCACTATTGTATGTCCCTTTTACAGATGAGGACACCTCCAATGACTTGCCTAGAGTCACATCTTTAGCAAGTAGAAGAGCTGGTATTTGTCCCCGGGCAGCCTGCTCCTAAGCTCACATTCTTTTTTTTTTTTTTTTTTTAATAGTCTCACTCTGTTGCCCCGGGCAGAGTGCCATGGCATCATCATAACTCTCACAGCAACCTCAAACTCTCAGACTCAAGCAATCCTCCTGCCTCACCCTCCTGAAGAACTGGGACTACAGACGCCTGCCACAACACCCACCTAATTTTCTACTTTTAATAGAGATGGGGGGGGGTCTCACTCTTGCTCAGGCTGGTCTTGAACTCTTGAGCTCAAGCAATCCTCCTACCTCAGCCTCTCAGAGAGCTACAGTTACAGACGTGAGCTACCACACCTGGCCCTTCTAAGCCCACGTTCTTAATTGACATGCCGTGTAAATCATTCTAAAGAGTGGGTTCAATTCTTCTTCCTTTTATGTCCATATCATTTGCTTACAAATATGCATTGGCATCAGACCATCTGAGTTCAAATGTCATTTCTGAAGATTACTAACTGCTTTTAAGCCTCAGTTCCTCATCTTTAAAGTGGGGATGATAAGAATAAAAGTAGCATCTCCTTCCAAAAGTTTTCAAGAACATTGATTTAGATATTGTGTGCATAAAGTGCTGAGAAATTGGAAAACATTCAAAAGCCATTTGCCATTAATATTGTATAGCTAGAAAGTGGTAGTTTCAGGATCCAAACTGGAGTTTGTTTTGGTCCAAAGTGCACATAGCCCTTACATTGAACTGTCCAAAGTTCCCAAGCGCTTAAGGAGAGGAATCAGAGCTATGAAGTCAGGTAGATAGGTATCTCTAAGTATCTACAACTTGTGTAAGTTTCAATGTGTTATTCAAATTCTCTGACTTTAGAAGGCTGAGGCAGGAGGATTGCTTGAGGCCAGGAGTTTGAGACCAGCCTGGGCAACAGTGTGAGATCTCGTCTTTACAAAAAATTAGCCAGGCAAGGTGGCATGTACCTGTAGAGCCAGCTACTCAGGAGGTCGAGGCAGGATTACCTGAGCCCAGGAGTTCTAGGCTGCAGTGAGCCATGATTATGCCACGATAATCTAACCTGGATGACAGAGCAAGACCTTGTCTCAAGAAAAAAGAAAATCTCTGAGCCTTATTTTTTGTGTAATCAAAGTAAAGACTTCTTAACCTCACATGGTTAAAATGAAGTCAAATACTTAAGGTATTGGTCACATAGTAGATGGCCAATAAACACTACCACAGAGGATTCTGTCTTCTATGGGAGGTTACATTCTAAAGACTAATGCAATTGGGGAGAAGTATGGTGAATTATCCTTGCAAAATCCCTGAATAGTCCCTAAAATACAATAAGCAAGATTTCATGTGTATCATCCCATCCTGTACTTTGTGCTGAAGATTGAAAAAACTGAAATAGATGAAAGAAACAAAAAAAAGTCTATTTTGAGATGAGAAGACCTTCAAACAATCTACCTTTAATAAAAAAGTTATCGGCTCGGCACCTATAGCTCAACCGGCTAAGGCGCCAGCCACGTACACCTAAGGTGGCGGGTTCAAATCCCCAGCC